CTTCTACCTTAGTGAAGGAATGCAAGAAAAAAAAATCTGAAAAGTGCTTAAACAGTAACTGGTAGAGTTTGAAGTCATCTAAATTTTTTTTTGAAACTCGATTACGTTGAAGCTGTTTATTAAAGTTTGGTAGATTCATTCAAATGTAGTATATTAAAATGAAATCTAATTATGAAAAGTACAGGTATTTTGTGCTGGTAGTACTTGTTTTACTTTTGGAATGCTAAGTCTCTAGTGAGGTTTCGATTTTTACTTTGCTTTACTTTAATTCGAAGTTTCCTTTACTTTTTTTTTGCTCATCTTTATTTTTATATTTCTTCTTATCATTTTTTTAATTTTATTTAGATATTATGTTTCATCTTTCATTCTGTTATGTTAGAAATAAAAATTTTTTTAGAGATTTGTCTGTACCTTTTATATCTGGTAGAATATAAGTTTACGGTAGTTGATTCTGTACAATCTTTTCAATCCTTTCTTTCTGTCTCATTTTGACATAAAGACGCTTCCTTGGTGGGGAGGTGACCGGTACCACTTGATCGTTTGTCAAAACTGATTGTATTTTTGTACTATCAAGGCAGCATTTAACATTTCAATCAGACATTCTGATTACGTCGACACATTGTTTTGTGTTCTTGTTATCTAATCTGCGATTGTTTTTATTTGATGTATAGTGTTTGCAAGCATCCTGAAACCACCGTTTTTTTTGGTAGTTTTCCTCTTCAGATGTAAGTTTTAGTGTTCTGTACTGGTACGGCAAGGCGTTATTCCTGGTAATAAAAAAAACTTATTGCATTGTATTACTTTAAGCTGCTAGATGACTTTTCACTTTGTCGTTTAAATACGGGCTGTTTCTGGGTACCCACCAAGCTACAATTTTTTGGTCGAGCATCCTTATTGTTACTACTGGTTTTTTCCACTTATTTTTTATTTAAATTTTTATTCTGTTTTTTTTTCTTGAGCGTTTGAGCGACAATATTGAAATGGTGAAGCCGTAAACAGAAGGATGGCGATATTTCTAAATGTACACTTT